GGACAATTAAATTCGTTCGTTTTTATTAGATTGAAGCATCGACTCACACCAAAAAAGATCCGTCAGTATCCGCACATCAATTCATTATCAAGTGATAGTTCTCTTGAACTGAGTTTTGGTGACCAAAATTGAAACTAAGACAAGTATGCATTTGGGGGTTCAGATAGCCGCACTTTGCATTGTGCCGGCCCGTCAGAAATAATTTATCTGGGGAAAAAAATCCTCTAGTGGAGCAAAACATTCTGGCAACCTAAAAAAGTGACTTCAAACTTTTTGGGTAGTATTTCCCCTCAACATTTTTGGAGGATGAAAACCCATCTCTAGTAATTTCAGTTTAAGCTTCGGGCAGTTGGCAACAATGATTTCAAGCACCAAGATGACCGCGTTCCAACTAGGACAAAGAAGACGCCTATGGTGATTGTGCGCTTTGTGAACAGAAATGAGCGAAATGCATGGCTTCAAAACAAGCAAAAGTTAAGGTCGGAAGCCGATGATGCCAACGTGTACCTGCAAGAGAACATGACGGCGTCGAACCGGAAGTTGTTCTACGATGTTAGAACAAAGGCGAAGCACCTCAGCTACAAGTTTATTTGGCACAAGGAAGGTTGTTCATACGTGAGAAAACAAGAAGGCGCACCGACAATTCGGATTGAGCATGAAGGCGATCTTGACAAAATTAAATAGGAACTACCAGCGCTAAACATCTTTGTTTTATTAGTTCTTGCAAAATGAAACCCGAAAGTTTACTTACCGCGTGGCAGAAAAACAATCTGGGTACGGCTATTGCGACGGCGTTACCTTCAAAAGTCACTTTAACGATGATAAAGACGGGCATTTTTGCAGGATCTTATACGCGAATTTCTATCTTAATATCCTCTGTTCCTTTTGTTTTTTTATGGCAATTGACGCGTTCGTTCTTCCGCAAGACTTGATAACCTATCTTGGTGCGGATTATATTTCACACATGACCTGTTTCCATTTAAATGTTCAGTCTGCGAAAAGCAAAGCTGTAGATCTTGAGCTACTTTTCGATCAATTTGGTTTTTCTTTCGATGTCATCATGCTTACAGAAACCTGGTACACTGAAGAGACTGACGTACTACAACTCCCTACATACCACTCTTTTTACATAAATCGTAAAGAAAAACGTGGTGGTGGCTTAGCCATTTTGACAAAAAGTGTTTCTGGTGAAGTAATAGGTGATTATAGTTGCATCACTCAAGATTACGAAATGATGTGTATACGCAATAACCAGAATATTTTTGCTGTGGTGTACCGACCACCAAACGGCAACATTGAATCGTTTTTAAAATTTTTCGAGTCTTTTTTGGTTTTTGTTAATGAAGAAAAATGTAATGTAATTTGTGGTGGGGACTTTAATATTGATATGAGCGCGGAAACCGTAGCTAAAAAAAGTTTAGATTCGCTAATCAGGACATATGGTTGTGCAAATGTTATTAATAGACCTACACGTGTTACTCTCCAATCTGAAACATTAATTGATTTGTTTATTTCAAACAGCTCAGTCGATTATATAAAAGCTGGCGTCATTGTTTGCGATCTGAGTGACCACCTCCCAATATTCATCTCTCTCAAAAGTTTCCCGAAAAAAAAATTGTAGGACAGAGCGGACATTAGTACAAAAAATAACTTTAGATCGACTCAACGCTTTTCAGACCGCTGTTTCAAATACAAATTGAAGCCGGGTACTGTGTGAGGATAGTGCTGACGGGGCTTATAACACTTTTATAGAGTTATTTCTTGGACTGTATAAGACATATTTTCCTTTCACTTCTATTAAAACAAACAAGCGCATAAAGAAGCCTTGGATAACGAGAGATTTACTCTGTAAAATTAAGATAAAAAACGCTTTATATGGTAAATTCATAAAATCCAAGGACCAGAAGGACCTTAAAGTATTTAAAAACTATCGCAACAACCTAACAAAAGAACTAAAGCGCGCCAGAACGCGTTATCATTTTGATTTGTTTAAGGCCACAGAAGGACGCACTGACATCATGTGGAAGCAACTAAATTATCTTCTTTATCGTAATCGCCCCTTCAGTTCAATTGAAAAAATTCTGTGCAATGGTACTGAACTTACTGGATGTTCACTGGCAAATGCTTTTTAACGACCATTTCATAAATATTCAGAGTACTACTGAAACCGAAACTCCTTTGGTTTTAAATGATAAACGAAACAGTGATTCAATATTTTTAGATCCCGTCGTCGAACCAGAAATTATAAGCGTGTTTCTTCAGCTTAAAAATAGTTCTAGTTGTGACGTCGATGGCTTCCAGATAAGACCGGAAAAACATGTTATTCATCTGTTAGCACCTGTAATAACTCATAGATTTAACATCTCTTTATCTACTGGAATTTTTCCTAAGCGAATGCAGATTGCCAAAGTTTCAGTATTGCATAAAAAAGGAAATGTAAATGAAATGGGAAACTACAGGCCAATTTCAATATTACCAGTGTTTTCCAAGGCGCTCGAAAAGGTTATTCATACACGTTTGACTAAATTTTAAATAAGTATAACTTGATAACTCCATCACAGTATGGATTTATAAAACACAAGTCGACAGAATCTGCCTTACTTGTTTTAAAAGAATTTATTTTACAAAGCTTTGAAAACAAAAATATGGTTCTTGGAGTCTTTATAGATTTCTCCAAGGCGTTTGATTGCCTCAATCATAAAATTTTACTATCTAAATTAGATAATTATGGAATTCGAGGGCACGCTTTACAGCTGATAAGATCTTATCTGAAGCATCGAGCACAATATGTTTATATCAATGGGAATTCTTCCACTATAAAACCTATTCCTTCTGGTGTACCACAGGGTAGTATATTGGGCCCCTTCCTCTTTAACATGTACGTGAATGATATAGTCAATATTAATGTAAGCGCAAAATTTGTAAACTATGCTGATGACACGAGCATACTGTTTTCTGCAGATGATCCTGACCTATTAATCGATATGGCGAATTTGGCCCTCTCTAGGTTACAAACGTGGAGTCATTACAACGCATTACAAATAAATGTAAATAAAACCAAAGCCGTGCTTTTTCCTCCTAAAAATAAACTCGTTACCATTACCAAGGAGATAGTTTTGAATTCAACCAAAATCGAGATTGTGAATTGTTTTAAACTCTTAGGTGTCATGTTTTCTGAAAATATGTCGTGGGAAAGTCATATAAACTCTCTTATTCCAAAGCTATCCCAAACTGTGGGCATGTTAAATCGACATCGTTATATTTTACCAACAAGCGTTAAATTATTAATATATAATTCTCTATTTTATTCTCACTTAAATTATTGCCATTTAGTTTGGGGAACAACAACTTTAACAAACCTAGAAAAGTTACATGTATTGCAAAAAAAAGCACTGAGGGCTATAGCTGCCGTCTCGTATGATTTTCACACAGCTGGCTTATTTCAAAAATTTCGCGTATTAAACGCGCATGCATTATATGATTACAGGCTTAGCACTAGCCTTAAAGTAGAGCAACTTAAAGACTCAACTTTTTTAACAGATCTTGGAAATTTATCAAAAAATGTTCATAATTACCCTACCCGAGGTGCTGAATGTTGGGAGGTGGCTACACCAAGAATAAACTATGGCAAACAAATGCTTAAATACACTCTCCCCAATTTACTCAGTTCGTATAAGACTAAAAGTATAAATTGGGATAAGTTATCCATAAGAGAAGTAAAATCATCTTTTTTCTCTAGCAGCTGAAGGTAGTTGCCTTTCTTTCTTTGTGATCTTTGTAACTAGTTTTTGCATAATTTTATCTCTGCTGTCTGTCCCGCCTCAATGTAAAAAAGGGGAAAAGAAATCTAAAATTTGTTCTAAAATGTGTGATAGCGACAATCATTGTACAATTTTTTTTCTTTTCTCCTCTTGAATATCGTTTTTTCCGGCTCTGTTGCTGCTTCTTGTAGGCGGTCAGGGACCCGTCAAGCTGTACCTGACAGCTTTTTTCCCTGATCGCCACCATCTTATGGTGGAAAATAAACATTATTATTATTATTATTATTAATTCCCCGATTTTTCCCAAAAATTAAAATTTCCTTGACAATTCCCGGTTTTCCCGGTCGCTAGACGCCCCAGTTATGCTACGGTTCCACCATTTCGTTACTCTAGCAGTAGGCTGCGCAATTCGGTCAGTGCTAACACGACGTCGCAGCCGTTTCGCATTTTCCTTGTCAATGTCAAACAAAACAGTTTGCTCTGTTTTATTTTAGGTGCGAGCATAGCAGACACTACGAGAGCGAGCTCCAAGATTCTAGTGCCCCTGCCAAGCGGGCGCACCTATGCAGTGCAAGCACCTTTTAGGGCAACGTGCCCGTGCTTGTAGCTTTGGCTTTGCTTCCACGTAAAGTGAAACAAACCACTGGGTGCCGCCCATGCTAGTACAGGGTGCCCCCGCGAAGAACTTACAGCATCCGTTTTTACCACAAAAATAAACAATGCGTCGCCGAATGCACAAGTGTGGCGTTAGCGGTACAGACCACCCGCCAAGGTTTCAGAGCTTGCAGTCATCTAATTAAAAAGGTATCAACGATTCTCGGAAATTTTTAATGAAAAAATGGCGGCCAACGTAGCCCGGAAATTTTCGGACGCATGGTGTCATCTACCAGAAAAAGGTCCATTTTCTCAATAAAAGCTTTAGAAAATGACTTCATTAAACAACGCACAAGTCAGCTTTGAACCTCTGGTATCTGGTCCGGACCTCTAGTGGTTCATTTGGATGTAAACCGAGAGTTTAACAGTGCATAGTCTATTTGTTAAAAAAAGAAAAAAAAGTTTTTTTGGAAGGAACATGCTGTACATTGTCATACACTGTCAGGGTTAGAGAAGTGTTCCAGACACCTCGGTAGGGCTAACCTGGCGCAACTCACAACCACGATGTTGCCAACGAACGAAATGAGAACTCCGACAAGCGCACCGGCCGGCGGTGCATTTGTTGGGGGCACATCGGTTACGCACCGGCATCCGGACGGGGCTTGAGCGACGCCAGGAGGGAGCCGACGAGGGAGCGTTGCTTGTCGGGGGGCAGTGCCCTGGCCTGGCGCAGCACGGTGTCGAACATGGTGTCCCGGTACTTCTGGAGCAGTTCCAGCTGGCGCTCCTTGTCTGCCAGCTGGCGCTTCAGGTCGGCGCACAGCAGCATGTAGCGCCGCTGGTCTGCCCCGCCCCCGCCGGCCGCCGTGTACGCGTGGTCCTGCGCCTGCGTCGCCGCCTTGGCGTCTGCAAGAACACGGTGGCGACGACTGCGGTACGAGAAAGTGCATGCTCACTGCACCTTTTTTACGCAGAATGTGTTTATAACTAGGGTTCAATGAAAAGTGTCATAAAATATTGCGTACATAATATAATTCGTCCTGAGAGGGTATGACCGTTAACGAATGTCATGTTGCCAAAAACAATGCAGCGTATGTGCTAAAAGTGGCGGTACGTGACAGCAACTGTGCGCGGAAGTGTGCACAAAGTTAGTCGGCTCCGACAGAGCCATAGGCAAATATTCAAGCCGCCATCCGTGTACACACGAAACACTCTAGGATGATGGCCTAAGCCTCAGGTCTCCCCCTCCCTTTCACCCTCTCTCCTCTCTACCACATAAACCAGGGGAACGTGCGCAGTAAGAAAAGAAGCCGTCGCCACGTGCGTCAGGTTACCGGGGGAAGCCCCATTTTTGACGCGCTTGTGAAAAAGGCGAATTGGGAGCATATCAAATTTGGGCGTTTTACTTGAGAAATAAAAATGAAAGCCGCTTACAACTCCCTGTAACGCCGAATTAGAGCGCAGCTCTTGAGGAGGAGGAGGGAAGGGAACTGGGGGGGGGTTAAACTAACCAGGGGGGGGGGGTCACGTGACCTTGGGGGTCACGTGACCCCCAATGCCGATGATGTCATCACTGACGTCACTGATGACGACATCAGTGACGATGACGATGCGGGTACCGATGACGTCATTAGTGACGTCACTGATGACTTCACCAGTGATGATGACGATGACGATGCGAATGTCGGTGACGACATCAGTGACGTCGCTGATGATGTCATCAGTGATGATGACGATGACGATGCGGATGCCGGTGACGACATCAGTGACGTCACTGATGACGTCATCAGTGATGATGACGATGACAATGCGGATGTCGGTGACGTCATCAGTGATGATGACGATGACGATGTGGATGCCGGTGACGTCATCAGTGATGATGACGATGACGATGTGGATGCCGGTGACGTCATCAGTGATGATGACGATGACGATGTGGATGCCGGTGACGTCATCAGTGATGATGACGATGTGGATGCCGGTGACGTCATCAGTGATGATGACGATGACGATGCGGATGCCGGTGACGTCATCAGTGATGATGACGATGACAATGTGGATGCCGGTGACGTCATCAGTGATGATGACGATGACGATGTGGATGCCGGTGACGTCATCAGTGATGATGACGATGCGGATGCCGGTGACGTCATCAGTGATGACGATGACGATGTGGATGCTGGTGACGTCATCAGTGATGATGACGATGACGATGTGGATGCCGGTGACGTCATCAGTGATGATGACGATGACGATGTGGATGCCGGTGACGTCATCAGTGACGATGACGTCATCGGGGGGTCACGCGACATCGGCGGGGGTCACGTGACCTCGAGGAGGGGGCCACGTGACCTCAGGGGAGTCACGTGACTTCGGGGGGTCACGTGACCCCCCACGAGGTCACGTGACCCCGGTGGGGGGCTCGCGCGGTGCATTATGGGACATTTCCCATGATGCACCGCGCGGTTACGCCGACGGCGACGGCGACGCCGCTCAAGCCGGAAACGGGCCCCTAAGAGCTGCGCTCTAAAACCGACGAAGGGCACCTGCTACGCCCCGGCGGAGGACAGAGTATTAATTTAGACCTCCTGAAAATCTTACGACGCGCAACCGACGTCTCAGTCACACGGGGGCGCCTTCGGTGGATGGCTGGATGCTAACGGCAGTACATGTTACGTCGGGCGGTAGCTTACGCCACTTACCCCACAAACTGAAAACAAAATGTAGGGCTCCTCCCTTCACCCTGCTCAGCTTTCTCCGCAATAAGCCCTCAGGTGGCCGGGATTCGAGCCGCCACCCGAGGACCCGTAAGCCGGCGCTCTGCCTCAGAGTCGCCGAGGCGAAGCCAATCCAATCCGGAAACCTCGGATTTGCCCGACGAGTTTACTCCGCGAGAGATTCGTGACGCGAGACCCCTTACCGACGAGGGGCTTGAACTCTTCTGGCTTGCGCGTGTCGCTGCCGAAGAGGGTGGGCAGGGCGTTCCACACCAGGCGCTGGTAGTTGTGGGCGTTCATGAACTGGGAGTCGTGGAAGTGCAGCTGGCACAGCACCTTGGTCACCAGGCTCTTCACCGGATGGCTCTTGAGGTCCTCCCGCCCGCAGTTGGTCAGCCACTGGTTGCGCCTGCGGATACAACGGCTCTGTCGGGTTTGCGCCTAATTTCTAGAAGAGATCGTACAATGGGCAGTCTTCACGCGACGTTGATCCGCCATTTTGTTGTGAGACTTATATTCTGGCCAGCCGTAAGCCGACAGTGTGGTGGATGCCACATGCTTGTTTGGCCAATCATACGTCTTTTGCCGTGTGATGACGCTCCCTCTCGTGGTCATGCACAGAAAGCGGGGTCAGACGATGAAAGGGAAGCAGTTCATTGGCCTGGCGAAACCGCGTAGCTTTCACTGCACTATCCACTTGGAGGCGAACGGAGTGTGTAAGCCTGTGTGCATGACATATTTGATGGCATTAGATGAATCTTTGGAATGCTTGCCACGGGCACGTGCCAGACATCTCGTAACAACAAAACGGTGGACGTAACTTTAAAAGAATAAACACCCTATAGATCATTCCAATAATGACTTCCGTACGCACCGGAGGCATCGGTGGTGGAGTGTGCAAATGTGCCGCGGCTTGGAGCATGCAGAGGAAAAGTGAATGTCGCAGGACCCAGGGATCTTGGAATCAGTCCCCCCCCCCCCCCCCCCCCTCCTGCCCACATCAATCTAGACGAGCATTGCACTGGTGAGTGGTTGTTTATCACTACAGTGCAATGCACGTCAAAGACCCAGGGCTAGCGGCGATTCTGCACTGGCAAAATTTCTCCTCTATGGCAAGGACACCAGGTGCTCGTTGGGGCCGACAAACTTTCCGCCGTTTATAGGGGGTATTTGCTAGATGCCGTTTTTGAGGGCGCTGTTTAGAGCTCGTGCTCAGACCGAGCTCACATTAATTGGCTGCTGAGACTGGCTATCTTGCCGGTGCTGCACGTTACAAAAACCTGTGGAATCTTGGTGTCAAGATGGAGTTGCCACCTGCATGGCCTTTTTTTTTTTTTAAAAAAAAAGTCTGGTTGCTGGTTTGTATTCAAAACCAGGCACTACTTGCCAGTTTTATTTTTAAATATCTAAGCACAATTTTTTTTAGAGGGGGAGGGGTATTAATTTATTTTAGACTATAAATGTTATTGGGTATATAAGCATATCCATTGCCCATTTTTAAGCCAATTTTGTAAATAATGTCCCGGTACGTGGAAATGTTTATTTAGCCGCAAAGAAGACGTCATTTTCAGAAAAGTCTGGCACGTTTACTTTTCAGTGTAGCACGGAGTGTTTGTGATTTACCGAAGGAAATCAAAGAATGGCGAGCAAGACATCACTTTGAATCTGAGGACACAGTCCTTTTGTAACTCATGATTCGAGAGGTATGAAAACATGCTCGCATTACAGATATTCATGAGTGGCCATGAGCTTTCAAGCTCGTGCCGGTGCTAGTGTTCTATACCTGCATTCACCACCAAAACCTCCGGAACCAGCGATTTTTGAAAATAATAAATTTACGCTCAAAATGAGCATGTTGAACATCATGCTCAGTGTCTTCGAACCATTCTTAATCAAGTGTTATTGAACTTGCAGCCATTTTTATGTGAATTGCAATAATCAGTTCTCCACCACAGGATGCACAGGATGAGTAGAGGTGCGAGATGTTTTTGGCACTTGAATTTTGACTAAATGGTATTCGCGACTTCAGCGACCTATAGGGGGCGCCACCACCAAACAAACATGGCGGCTGGGTCCAGGTCGCGTCGGCTCGGCCGGGCCGCCTGAATGGGTGTTGCATTCAATTTAACAGATTTTCTTTTGTTTAATGCCCAATTTTATGGGTATTTGAACTGAGACGGTTAAGTGTAGCCGGTGTGCATAAACTTGCCGGGCATAGTTTTGTTTTGCCGGTGTTTTTTGTTCTTTTCATGTCAAACTTTCGTTTCGGAGACTTCGTTCAAAACCGAAACTATGGGCTCCAGAGAAGCAGTAATAGACTCTAATTAGTTTTGATCACCTAAGGAAAGCGGCGATGGCTACAAAATTGTTCCACCGAGAGTAATTTTTAGCTAACTCGCATGCCTCGACCATGCAACTTATTTGTCCGCGAAATTGAGCTTTTGTGCGTGTCCGCGTTTCAAGAAACAGCTCCAGTCGCGTGCTCGGTTAAGAACACACGCTGCAGGAAAATTACGAAAATTAAGCAAGCACTTCTTGAGCCAAGGAGCATGTTAACCCGCTGGCACTTCACTAAGCAGCTGATACTCGTTTTTAAATTCAGGTTTTATTAGAAACGAGAAGTTATTTTGACGAATATGAGGATTATGTATTATATTACGTACTATGGGGTCCCACTAAAACGATATTAGTATATTCTTCGGGTTGAAATATGAACTTAGTTGACTAACTATTAGGTGAACTGCTGAATAAAAGTATATTTGACAGAAAGAGAGATACTATTTAAACTTAGCCAAATGGTTCTAGCCGGTAGAACGGAGACGAATGCGGACAAACTGAGGAGAGTCTTCATCAGAGATTCACTCAGACCTCTCTGCAATGAACTTGACTTCAAATCCTGAACGGAGAAAATTAGTATTTTTTGTGGCCGGTCAACCTGAGCAATGTAGACGTATATTGCTGCTGGCTTCGACAGGGGTTATAATATAAATATTGATGATGATGATTGGGGTTTTTTGGCGCAAGAGCAACATAGGCCATATTGCGCCAAACAAAGGTTTTTCCAAGAGGCTTAAAAGTATAATCTATAAGAACTGGAAGCTACAGCTGGTGTAAAAAGCCAGTTTTATGAAGGAAATTTAAAACTCGATTGAATGGTACCAATGGTTGATCGCCGAGCAGAAAATATGGGTGAAAGGGAAGGTGACCTCGAAAAAGTTCTGGAAAACATGATCGCCGCTCTTGGTTTAAAGATTTGCAATGCCACAGGATGTGCAAAACAGTCATAGCTTTCCCACAGTTGTCGCAGAGTTTAACGTCCTCACCACAGAGCAGGTGCAAATGAGTCAAACGGGTATGGCCGATTCGTAAGCGGCAAAGGAGAACTTCAACCTGACGGTCTTTATGGGAGGAACTCTCCCACACTCCCAGTTGGGGCTTGATAACATGAAGCTTGTTCTCTTTTTCCATATCCCAATCCAACTGCCATGACTTCATAATTGATTTCTGGATGATTGGTTTCAGGTCTTGGTGTGGCAAGCCAAGAGGCAGTTTTGGGGACTCTTATGCAGAACCAGCAAGCAAGTCTGCTTTCTCATTGCCGGAAATACCTACGTGGCTAGGAACCCAACAGAATTTGATCAAGTGTCCTAGCTGAAGTGCTCGGTTTAACCGTACCCGAAGGTATTGCACGAGAAGGTTCTTACTGTCTGCTAAGGACAAAATGGCTAGGAGAACGCTCTGGGAGTCGACAAACAGAATTGCTTTCATGATATTGTTCTCCAGTAAGTACTCAAGAGCCATTGAAATGGCATACAATTCAGCAGTAAAAATATTTGCAAGAGTATGGAGTTGTCTAACTTTTTTGAAGGCAATGGAGTAAACCGCACACCCCACGAAAGTTGATGTTTTTGATCCATCAGTGTAAAAGTGTGAGTAGTCCTTGTATTTCTGTTCCAGTTCGGCAAACTCCTGCTGAAGAACGAGTGAAGAAATAGCTCTCTTTCTGTACTTGGACAGTGACCAGTCACAATAGATTGGCAGAAGCTCCCAAGGTGCAATTCTTTCATTGCTCTTCAGCAAAGCAGCTTCACTAATGGGAAGCTGGAGTGATGTTGCCATGCTTCGAACTCTGAAACTCAGAGGCCGAACAATACTTGGCTTGTTTTCAAACAGTCGGAGGGATCTAGCAGATTGGAGGGCCGGCATCAAAAGAGGGATGTTGAGGAAAACTGTATATCTTGTAAGCATAACAAAGAGTCAAATATTGCCTTCGTCTTTCCAGAGACATTTGATGTGTATCAGCATACAAGCTAGGCACAGGTGATGTTCGAAATGCCCCCGTGGCAAGTCGGAGCCCCAGATGATGGACGGGGTCCAACATCCTTAGGGCAGACGGACGCGCTGACCCATAAACAATCGCGCCATAGTCCAAGCGGGACCGTACCAAGGAGTTGTAAAGTCGCAAGAGGCAGCGTCTGTCAGACCCCCAGGTTGTATGCGACAACACTTTGAGAATGTTTGAAGAACGTAGGCATTTATGTTTCAACTCTTTTAAGTGGGGTATAAATATAATATAAATATTGGAGGCACGATAGATCTTAATGCCGTGACAGCTTCTAACTTTGCGAGACGCGTCCCCCATCTTTTGAAAGCAGATAATTTCCCTCATTAATCATATGCAGCAAGCAGGTTTTCTGAATCAAGTAATTGCGAAATCACCCCACTCCTTCAGTGTGGTCTTGTTCGGCGAAAAAACAGCCAAGATGAATAGCCAACGCACCGGCCGGCGTTAGTGGCTCAAACTTGAAGCTAATCGAGCACAACCAAACTCAAGAAAAGCAGCTATTGAACATTCCCATTCTCTTGACTGCAACATTGGTGTTCCCTCCAGCGAAACACCTCATCTGTCGACCTCAGTCCACTGTTCTACATCCTTATAAAGAAACCACTTATCAGTTACCAAGTAGAAGTCACTTTGAATGTGATTCGATACAGACAAGAAATCCAAAAATTTCTCCGCGATTCCTCCCCATCCAAAAAATTGAAAGCACGCGACCGTGTGTTGTGGAGTAAACGGGCTTTCAAACACGTGGTGGAAAGAAACAATCTAATGAGGCTTCACCGCACTAATGAACACTCAGGCAAACTTAAGAAATTTTCGGACCTTCGTCAAATTACATTGCTCGCCCCTGCGCCGACAGCACGTGTCCGCGAAAGCCACCAGAGACGCGGCGGGGCGCGGAGCGACCTGGACCGACTGGTTCCCGGTTTTCCCGCTTGGCGGCGTCCGTTTTGCTGGAGTCGTGAATATGCATCGATATGTATGTGTTGAGTTCAGTGTTGTGTATTCATGTACTTACAAGTGGTACGATGTATAAAAAATAAATGTTACTTGATATCACTTCGGGAAGCTCGTATCAAAATAAATTGAAACTGTGATCACTGCATCTTTCTTTTAAACAGTTCAATCGCACATGATCCCCCTCCACCCCACAATGTACGGCTTTTTTTTTTCGAGGAAAGGTGGCAACACCTTCCTGTCAGCACGTGCTCAGGAGTCATGCACACAGCTATGGCCGCCAGTGAACACTCCCTACTGGCTACAAACTGTTTTGGTGGCGCCACCTCGCTGGCGTCTTCCTGTGACGGGGCTGGTAGGATGCGAGCAAACGACGCGCTGTCAAAGCACGGAGCGGCTATGTTAGTTTGCATCTATGCCAATTAAAACGGCTTATTTATTAAAGAAACATGCTTGACGTTTTTGTGAGTGGTCTTTCTAATGAAGAACAGTGTTGGAAGTTGCTTTTTATTTTAAAAAGCTTTAGAAAATTCAGGAACAAGCCTGGAGCTTCACATTACAGCTTGTGCAGTGTGCGTCAGGGCTATTCACAGCCTATCTGATTCTTGCTCTTTCGGATTTGTGGAGGCTGCTGTAGGAGAAGGCTTTGCATTCACCAGAGTAAATGACAGGCTGTCTTCTTAGCTGTGCATGTGCGCACAATTGTGTTGCAAAGCAGTGCACACTTGTTTTAACTGCGTTAAGCTTGCTGATACCGACGCTTCTATCCAAGTGTGACTTGACAGTTGCCGACGAGCGGCGCTTAGCTCCTCCTGCATCGAATATGTGGCAAAGAAGTTTGTCACATTGCAACTTCTGTTCAAAAGAAAAGCAGAAATTTTCTTAAATTGTCGGACATGGCCCGGCAAATTTAGGCGATTCATTAATATGTTCTATCCCATTTTAACAAAGACTTGTTTACAAATTTAAAAACGCTCGCCGAGAAGCAAATGTACATAATGCATTATGTACATTTGGGTCCGAAAAATTAAACATACAAACACTAGTAATTCATACAGGTGTATACCTCATTTTTCGGGATGCTGACTTCGATCGCAAGGGGGTCTCGCGCGTTTCGCGTCGACCAGGTGAATAAGCGGAGATTTAATTGAAACGACTCCGAAAGCAAGCTACCGCTTCTGAGACGTTGCCTCCTCTTTTTCTACCTTCTGTTGTGTTCTCTTTTCTGCCCCAGTCTCAGGTTTACAATCATGTTCGCTTCTTCCTGCTAAGTATTTTGAGGAAATGTTTGTTTACTGGTTTACAAAAATCAAAAAGAAATCAACTTGGGACTAGTAAGAAACCAGCCCTTACAGAACACATTGGAACCAACAGGATACATGGAGTCGCTTCCACTGAAGTGTTTACTACACATGCAAGAGGCTCTCAAATTTCGCTTTCCTAATTTCAATGCAATGAGACATTCCTTTCTCGGTTTTATTTTGTCCAAATAATAATGAAAATACACCCTATTCGCTGTAGTAGATGTTATAGTGGGGCAGAGCGCTGGATATTTTATTTTCATCATCCAGCTTTTTGTACTGGGGTAGAGGACAGCACATCACCATCCGAGCGGTTCGACACCTCAGCGCCAAAAGTGTCAGCATGACCATGTGTGTCACGGTTTCAAGCTCCTAGTACAAATATCACTTCATCAAATAAACACAATGCGTGAAGCATGCTTTGCCGCATATTACCCGAACAGCGCATGAAGCAAGCTGACGAGCCGAGGGATTCAAGATCTGTGCGGTCCGTCCCAGTCCGTCCTACCCGTGACCTCACAAATGATGCTGATGATAGTTAGAGAAGTGCCCCCTGTAGTTCACGCATGCCGCCAATAGGGTAGCTATATCTTATGGTGTAAAACGAGCCGGAAAAATCAATGCCGGCACTCAGAAAGCTGGAACTTTGACTGAATGAGCACTGAAAAGGTGGATTTCACCTTGTTAAAATTCAAAACATAGTTCTCTTCCTGTCAAAAAAAATTGATAAACAAACTTGCCAAAGTCAACAGCAGACGGCAGAGTTAGAGATGAACGTAACTTGTGGCACCATCTCCCGAATAGGTGCAGCCAGCAGACAACAGAGTGCATCCATCAGTAATTAAGTCAGTCGGAGGGACCCAAACCCCTCCGACTGGGTGGGCACTCGTGAAAATGCTTCCGATACCGTAAGTAAAACAGTTAATTTTGCTTTGCACCGAGAATATTTCGTTGGAGAGGTTTTGTGGTGTGACAAAGACTGTTTCACATCACCGGGTGGCGCTTTGTTGCCTCTGTCCGTTCCCACTTCCCGTGCATGTCTTCTCGCACAGTGTTTGTCTGTCCCCAATTGCCCTGGTCGCTGTAGCTGCGCTGCAAGGTGCTGATACTGCACTGCAAGGCGCTGACACTGCACTGCAAGGTGCTTTGTTCACAGTGCTTGATGCAGCAGCACTGTCACAACATGTGTTCGATTGCCGCTTCATGCTTGCCGCAAAGTTTATAAGTCGGGTCGTTTTTGAAGATTTCGGATTTCGTCTCTGGGTTAAGAGGAAGCCCGTTCTAGCCTGGAGGAGCAATGCGCCGACCCTGTCTTTCCGGTACTGGTGACAGGCTGCTGGCTCACTCTTGTGTTCCCTGTTTAGTTGGAGGCTGTTTCTTGGGTACTGCTCTTCTCCATTCCCCTATTCCGGTCTGTGTAACCTCTGCCCACACTGTTTTGGCTCACTCTCGCTTTCACGTCGCCTGCTGTCTCGCCGTGCCCTCACTGTGTTTAGTCTGTGGCCCTCATCCAACCCGTCTTGGTCCCCCGATACCAGATGGGGCAATACACCCCCCCAGTCTCCCTGAGGGAGGAACTTCAGCCTGCCCATGTACAGTCGGGGACAAAAGTCCCCCGGACGTGCGAGCTGCGACTGAAACGCATTGCTCTGCCATCTGCCGGGGGGTCGCCTGGTTTCGAGATCACACAAAAGCGCATGCGCGTCCTACTCTGCCTGCAAACATGTCTGTTTTCCCGCTCTTCTGCGGCACAGCGCCTAACTCGGAATCGGGCGCGTGGTACCGCCTCTGAGATAGCGCTGGCGGCTGACGAGCGTCTGCTACACATTCCGAAACTCAAGATACCGCCTGGAGCATTGCGCCGCATTTCGCCGTGTCAGCGCACCTTGCTTTATAACCAGTTCAGCTTATCGCTCAGTTAAGCTGCCGTGACTTCTTGCTTTATAGGCGCCATGTCGGTAAGCGCTACCTCCGATTCTGAGTTAGGCGCCGCGCAGCAGAAGAGCGGGAAAGCGCACACGTTGGCAGGCACAGTAGGATGCGCATGCGCTTTTCTGCGATCTCGAAACCAGGCGACCCACCGGCAGATGGCAGAGCAACGCGTTTCAGTCGCAGCTCGCGTGTCCTGGAGACTTTTGTCCCCGACTGTGCAAAAGCTTGCACTTCTCTGATCACGTGCGTGGACTATCCCCTTTCTCCGGTGACCACCGGAGAAAGGGGGCTTGCGGTGAAGCTGCTTCCCCCCGCAATTACCTCCCAATTTCATCCCCCCAGCAGCCACCTCCCCATTTCATATTGGTGCCGATCCTAACATTTTCTTGCTGCGTCGCTGGATGCAGTACGTCATTTGCGTACGTCACTGCTGGGACTGCGAGGGATTTCCATTGCGCCCTCCCGAATGAGTACTTATTTTGCGAACGATTCACCTACCATCCCCTTTAGTTCGTTTGATTTCGAAATTGCATCACTACCTGTGTCGTCGGCGAACCCACCCGCCCTTGAATTTGGCAAGTCGGTTGGTCTATATTTTCCAAGAACGGAACGACGCCTTGAAATGTCACAAGATAAAATCCACCACCTCAATGCACATTCGGTGAAAGTTTAAGCGTCCGATGTGCAGGTGCCGATTTTCTTCGGCCCGTTTTAAGTCCGACTGCTCTCAGCCCCCGAACTTTCGGAGTTCCCGGCGCTTTTACGGGAGGCGGCGGTGGAGACAACTCGCCTGTTCTCGTCTGGTGGCAAACGAAAGTAACGCAGTTTGGCGTCGTCGTAGCCATAGCGGATGCTGTTGCAGCCCAAGGCGATGCACCGATGGCCCTGGGGTTTGGCGGGTTTGGCCTGGTACGTGGCCAAGAAAGTAAGGCCACCGCTGGGCTTTTCGGTGTCCATGGGCGTTTCAGACATGTTTTGTCTTTCTTTACCGAAAGTCCCAAAGGTTCGCCGACTTACCAGCGCCCCTTTACGTTCATAATAAATCGCAACAAAATCTACTTCGCAAGGATTGGATTGGATTGTGTTGGCCATGCACGTTCAACCAGCTGTTGTTTGGTGATGGTGATGACAACGAGGTTTTCCGAGATAGATAGATTGATAGATATTTATTTGTACATTTAAGTACAGGTCGCACAGAAGGCGTTTCCGCCCGTACACATACGTGCCTACGTGTACGGGCGGTACGTTGCAACGTTGGTACGTGGTGCACTGGCGTCAGATAACCAACGTTGAGATGACACGGATAAAACAAAAAATAACAAAAAATCACATGAGCGAATGACGTTTTAGCGAACAGAGGTCATTTGAGCAGACGACTTTTTAGTGAATGACGTGAATCACTGGGGCTTTTCGTGGCTCCTTTTTCACATTTTAATCAACTCGCACTAGGCATAAAAAAAAAAAAAAGCGAAGAGCATTGGACTTTTATAGTGGGATATTTCGTTCTTTATAAAGGTAACAGTTAAAATTTGCTAGCTTATGCCGTGCTTGAATTAAGTAGAGTCTCGAACCTGAAAGTTGCGCAGGATTCACCTTACCCAGGCCCACAATGTGTGAAGTCAAGGCCCATAATGTGTGAAAACCAGGCCCAAATGTGAAGGGAGGAAATAAGTGAACCCTTTTGCTCTTTTTCTTTCTCAAAATAAAGTGCTTCTGGCCGAAGCGCACTTAGCACCGCCACATAAACTGCCCAAGCACATGAGCCTTTTGTATTGAGGGAGACTGTGCAGGCAGAGCCATTAAAATAGGTCTAACAGCTTGGTAGCGTTGTACGAGTAAATGAGACCTCACAGAGGTTATGATGACTGCTTCACGCACACATGACTCATAATCAATCCCCACCCTTGCCCGTTTCGATCTGGATAAGCACTGTACCGGCGTGCAGTCGTGTATCACTACTGCATGATGCACGTTAAAGACACCATGCTAGCGGTTGTACTGCACTGACTAAATTTCTCATCTACAGCTGGGAAACAAGTCGCCCGTTAGGGGCTAAGTTTTCGGCTGTATAAACATACACACACCTCAATTTTTTTTCAGACTCGTAGTGATTCAGAATATGAGGCAAAAACTAGAGTAATCAAATGGCAAACTGTTTATTTGGTACGTCAGTTAGAAAGGGTTAAGATTCTTCAGTTTGAAGTCCCTCAGGCTCCAGAACAGGAGGTCGGGTGTGGGTACAGCAGACCACCGCCACCAGTGCCAACCTGCAATAAAAACAAAAATATTTTGAGGACATCTAAGCACTTCTTACGAGTTGTGAATGCGAAAGCACGAATGTAGAATCGATTGCAGCAGAGTGCTCCTTCGAGATTTGTGGTGCGAGTATTGAGGTGCCGCCATGTTCGCTGGCGCTGAGAGGAGCACCCGCTCCTCCTCCCCATCCTTGCACCCCCCCCCCCCCTCGCAGCGCCATGGCGTGGCATTCCTTGAAACTATGCGGACATCGCAGTCACAGACTACAGGCTTTGCTCTATTGGCACAGGAGAATTTAGGTGCCGTTTGGCATGCGGCTTTAAGAACTGAGAACGCCGGTTCGCCCCATGGGACCCCCCCCCCCAATTAATCCTTTCACATTATAATAATACATGGCTCTCCATATGCACACAGGTGTGTGTCGGACATAGATAGTACAAGTAGCACTTGTGGTAGCTTCAAGTGCATGCTAAAATTACGTCCGGCGTTGCTCGCTTGGAGAATGACGTTTAGGCAGGTGCATGTCTATACTTTGGTTAATCGTCATTAATCATCACTTCTGTTTGCCTCTGTTTGCATGCCGACGCATACTCAAAGTCAAAACTGTGACCTCTTGTCCAACAATGGTCAAAAAGCTGCGTCTTCGCCCTAGCGGCATATGTGGCTTTTGCCACGTCACGCTTGTGTTCTTTCCTAAGGGTGCAATGCTTGCTGCCGGTCTCTCCAATATGCGAAGCGTCACAATCTAGACAGGTCAGTTTATATACAACACCACACTGGGACTCTATAAGGATTTGTCTTTTGGTCTGGAAACGAGGTCAAATAGTTTAAGACGAGGTTTGAAAGCTGTTCGGATGTTTAAAGGGGCGAGGGGTGCCTTTAAACATCCAAACAGCTTTCAAACCTCATCTTAAAGAACCGTAACCCCTTGTTATACCGAAGTCAATTGGGACGGCAAAAAATATCGATATAAGTGGTAATTCGATAAAAGCGATACAGCCAAAAAAATAGTGCCAGCAGCCTTCGAGGGCGACGGGAACACTGAGGAGCACTTTGACCACATATTTAATCCAACAAACCTTGGTTATGAACAACAAGCAACAGCATTACCAAGTAAAAAGATAATCAAGCAGAGTTTGCCAATAATTTCATCCTGGAGCAGTTCTCCTCAAACTGCTCCAGGCATCGCAAGAACACTGTCACCACCACTGTGCTCCACTTTGTTTTGAAGCAGCCGTAGGATGTTCAGCGTCTCCGCAGTCGTCATCTATTCCCAAACTGCAAACGGCCAGGGTAAGCACGAAGCATTGCTTCGTGTTTACCTCGGCCGCACGCAAGGTCTACGATCGCAGCATCCGTGGCAGGAGCAACAACGAGAATGTCCGCACCGAAAAGCATAAACAAATCATTTATCTTCGGTGGCTTCGCTCACATGTCTTCATACACTCCCGCAGCGACCGTCGCAGCTCTGGGAATCATGCGCCAGCTCGGCAAGCATGCTTCTTTCATTTGTGATCTTTCATCTTCGGGTTGCAGGCGCGCTTGCTCTGGCATGAAACTTCTCAAACTTGACCAGTTGTCGGTTCCGTAAAATGGTGGACAGTGTCGAACAGCCGATGCTGGAATGTCGAATTCTTTGGCGATTTCTGACTTGGGCCGGCCGCTTTTCTCAACCTCGCAGGTCTAAGCGAGTTTTGGTGAACACTCCCACTCCCATACCATGCATGTGTGCGTGTAGCATGTGGTACGTGCACCGCAAGCATGCACAAACAAACGCGCCTGTTGGGGGCTCCCGAAGGTATGATCTTTTCTGGGCTCCACCACTCCCTTGACCCGATTCCAACAGGAGTGGGGCAGCGTCGGCGCATCTGCATCGGAAGCGGCGCTCTGCCCTCTGTCACCCGTTTGTTCCGTTCACTTGTTTAACGTTTTCCCAGTTTGCCTCGGTGGAGAAGGGGGAGGGAACGCAAGGGTCTCCGTGCGCCTCTGTGTACGCTTGCGTGCATTCGGCACCTTGGCCTTCGCAATAAGCGTGATCAGCCGTTGATACGCTTAGAATGATTCGGTTCAAAATGCATGCATTTCGGTCAGGACCACATTGAACTTCAATAAAAGCGATAACTGATAAGTCGAAAAAAGCGACTTCGTTGTAACGAGGGGTTACTGCACCTGACCTCGTTTCCAAACCAAATGACAAAACACCCCCAGGGTCCCAGTGTGGTGCTGCATGTAAATTAAACTGTTTAGATTCTGACGCATCATATGCTGGGGAGATTGGCCACAAACGTTGCACCGTATGAAAGAACACAAGCGCGATGCGGTGAAAGCCACACATGCCACTAGGGCAAAGACAAAGCTGGTTGACCATCGTTAGACAACGGGTCACAGTTTTGACTTCGAGAATGCGAGGAACTTGGCGGGCGAATGAAGATCGGGTCGACGAAGGTACTTGAAATCACTGTGCACACGGAGCGAATCGTTGGCTTGTCACTCCAACTGTGGTCCATCCCCGAAATGTAAGCGGACCTCCTTAAATAGGATTTCTGGTTGGCATCTCTTTCACTGCTGCCTCTTCGCTTCACTGATGATGTTTCCCGCATGGGAGACGAAACATCTGACTTAAATTGTTATTTGTGCTACATTAAGTCGGTGCAGTTTGTATCGTTAGGAAACCACGTACACTAGGTGTTTTTGAGTGCTGCTCATTTGTAAATAATAATAATAATTGTAATAATACTAATAATATTAAAAATAACAATTTTTATTTACAGATTTTCTAGTATCCACTCGGCAGTGTGCACACCAAGGCAGAAAGGTTGGGACCAGTAAAACGAGCCGTATAAATAAGCCGACAAACAGAGTGAAATTAAACTTTTGACAAAGGCGTCTGTGATGTGCGCATTTAATTGTGCGCATGCGGAGACACCGAGAGACAAGAAACGACGGAGGCAGCGGGGCACAGAAGCGAAAGGCCGTCGGCCTACGGGCCCAAGCTTTCCAAGGCTTCCGCATGGCCAGACCTCCGGCTCCGGCCGAGCGGTCACCCAAGCCGGAAGCTGGTGCGTGTGCTGCGGGGCGCCTATTAAGACCGCGGCGGCCCCGTTCGCTCCAACACGCCACCTCGAGCGCCGACGCCGCCTCTGGCCCCACGGCCCGTCGGCGACTCGTCGCTCGACCCTCGGCCGTTGGCATTTGCTTCGTCACCGCTCCTTCGCCCGGCACCTCTCAAGATCCGGCGCAACGAGACGAGAAAGCGACGAGTTGTCGCGGCAAACTTTTAGGTTATTTCTTCTGATGAGCAAAACTGAAACAGTGCGCCAATATTGCGGGCGCAATCTGTCAAACATTCGGGTTTTTCCTCGTACGAACAGAACTAGATTCTTTAACGCGTAAATGGCCTCGTTGTCCTTAATTACGGGAATTACGATCTGACAATACTATTTAATTACAAAAACAAACCATTAATCATTAGTGTTTTTAGATGGTACATTTACCATAGTAAAATTTCTTAAATATAAATTTTCAAGTAAAATGACTAAAATCTCAAAGTAAAATGCAAAAAGAAAAGAGGAAAGAAAATAAATGTGTTAATTTTACGCACAAAAAAAAAAAAAAAAAAAATAACGGCTTGTTTTTATAGTACGACACTGCTGTGAGACCAAGGTGCCACGTGACATTGCATGACATTGCAGCACCACACATGATGTCACGGTGTCGTGTGCATACAACAAACGGGTTCTACCACAACATGGCAAGAAGAGATCCGTCTCTTGCGGGGAGTGTAGCTCCGTACCTTCGCACTTCTGGGGCTCCATGTTGCGTGGCTCGGAGCCCCTGGTCTCGTCGACGTATCCGCGCATGAAGACGGTGATGTAGTGGTAGTCCTGCTCGGCCTCTATGGTGTCTACAATGGAGCAGAGGGACACGTTGTGCACGTGCAGGCCCGTCTCCTCCAGCACCTCCCTGTAGGCCGCCTGCTCCCAGCTCTCCCTGCGGGGGGGAACGGGTGCTGCTCAAACGCGGCTCGCTCAATCTGGAGCGTCATATCGCAGGTTCTATGCATTCTTTTTTTGCACAACTTTAGGTTTTGCAATAATATAACTATTTTACATTGAGACTCATTGCAAAAATATTTATGTTATTGCAAAACCTAAAGTTGCGCAAAAAAAAAAAAAATGCATAGAACCTGTGATTTTACAACCCACAGTGCCAGTATTATGTAAGCAGTATCCGGGTCGGAATTGCTTGTTTTGTTGAATTTCTACGCTGGTGAATCGATGCATTTCTTTTAAAAGAAACGAATATTTAACATAAATAGCGCGGTTCACCGGAAACAGGCATCCGTCGTGGTTATCCGTGCTTCCCAGCATCTGCCTACAGCAGACGACGCATCCATACGAGCAATTATTTAAAGAAAAGCCGAAGAGGTTCTTGAAAAAAACAAAACAATTAAAGGTGAATTCTAAACTATTTTTATCCCGTGAATTTGAATATCACGTTCGTTTCCCCCAAAGATGTAACCAAACGTGACAAAACACGAAAAACCTCCAACCAAGGGCTACTTCATAAAAGGATCTTTTGGCAGCCAAGACCGTGTTGCTCGTGTGGGTACCGCGTGCAAAAGTGAGCTTGCCAGGCACATTTCCCTGCACTGACACCGGTCGCGACGCCTTTTTTTTTTTTTTATATTTTGAAAATAGTGAGTGTGCGTGATAGGCGCTGCAGATGCGTGAGAGCAGAGAGTCCCAGCATTCCCTCTATGACATAACGCTCTGGGAAGGAGGGGCTTTGGCGGTACTTTGAAATTGATTTTGTGCAGCCTCTGTGCACCAAATTGAAAAAGAATCGCAATATTCGTGATTCCGGAGGCCAAATGAAGACGATTTAAGCGCTTTTACTCAAATACAAATCTGCTTCAGTTTCCCTTTAAATTTAGGCCGTACGCTGATAACACGATTCAGTCTTCACTGAAGCACCGAACAGTACCGCATCATTTTCCGCTAAAATATTTTTCTCACTGATGCTATGCGATGCTATGCGACAAAATAAACGCAAGAATCTACACCATCTCACACACAAACGTGGAGAGCCCATGGGGCGACCACGCTTCCATCCCCACTTTGATGATGATAATAGTGCGACAGAAGTGCCACCTCTAGATTGATCTTGAGGCCAATAGGACATAAAAAATCCCCAACCGTTTTGCAGTCTTTTTAATATTTCACCACCTTTGAGTTGAGCTCTAGAAAATTAGACAAAACTTGGAATTTGAATTTTGCGAAGCACGCCAAATGTGCCGGTCCTTACCGCCGCACCCTTCACTTTCTCCTGCGGAGTTGGTCCTGTGACCTTGAAATCCCTCGTGCGGACAAGTTAGCCTCCGGAAGAGATAAACACGTTGATTGGCAAACCAGCCCTAGTAACCTAAGGACCGTGGTTGGAGCCAAGTTAAGCTGCCGGCGAAACTTCCGACCGACTGGTGTGCAGAGTTCGTGCCACTCACCCAAATTCGAGGTGTCCTCCAGGCACCTGGTACAGTCCGTGGCCCAAGACGTCCTTCCTGCGTCCCAGCAGCACGCTCTCCGGATGCTTCTCGCTGAGCACAAACATGGCCACCCCCACGCCGGGCCTCTTGGTGGGCTCCACCCTCGCCGCCTCTATCCGCTTCCACAGCTCCTGGACCACCTCTGCGTCAGAGGATTTGCGCAATAAATCCGGGGGGGAAGGCTCCCCCACGTTGGCGCACGTTTCGGCCAGTTCAGTATGGCAAGGCACGGGGGCAAACGCCGGTGATCTCAGGTAGAGCACCAGTTAAAATTCATGTTTTACATTTCTTACAAGTATACCAACGACCATTGTTGCGCGGACGCGCGAAACACGTGCCTCAAGTGAGTGCTGCGCCACCATTTCCTTCCGGGGGCTTTTCGGCCTTTGGAGCATTTGATGCTACTTGCGAGACAGATACAAACGCATTGCTGGCGAGGCTTGGGCAAACACGGAAGCAGCACAATATCACGTGCAAGTTTGCTGCCTGGTTTTGTGTAGCATTATTTTGCGAGAAAGCATCGACATTGAGCATTGTACAAAGAAAAACTAAACTTGGCAAGCAATGATAAAACTTCAGCACGTCGTGGAAAAACTGACACGCCGAACCCTGCTCATCCGCCACTCCCTTTCTCGTTCTTTCTGCCAAAGTCACCGACGTCGGTGCTCGCAATATTTCCGCACTCTGCTCCCGCCCTTGTCCTCTCTGCTCTGTGCCAAAGAGCGTGTTTCCTCCCACACAACAATTCTTTCGGGTTTGCGGTACCTAGTAGAGTCGGCGAATGTTCCCGGAGTAACAGAACTCCCAAGATTTGCCCGAGAACTGCACCGCGGCGGATCGATCGACGGCTTCGGAACACCAGCCACGTGCGACCAAATCGAATTTGTGCTGGCAAACCTGGCAGCGCTGGCATTATCTCTTTGAGTACCGGGTTATGGGCTACTTGATGTACAAAGCCCTGGGATTCAGTACCATGCCTTTTGAGAAGTAGTAATTCGCTGGCTGTTCAGAGCTACTGTGCGTACCCACTGTCCATACATTCTATTTTTTCTCCTTGCGTCAACAGGCCGACATAAAAACCAAAATTTGGATTTCGCAAAATAAGGAAGCAGAAGCGTTGAACGGGATATTACAAACTCCAAAACATCACTCGTACGTCAATATCTCAAGCGGATGGCCATATTTTTTTAAAAGGGTGCAATCAAGTGAGGACAGCAACGTCACAATCTTTTTGGAGCAGTCGAGAATGAGAGGAAGCGACCCTGCATCTCTCCTCTTTGGTTTGGTTCACCTCAGTGATGTGATTGGCCTAAGCCATTTTGGAGCACCTTTCAGAGCAGCCAAAACAGGGTTTTGGAGCAGCAAATGTGGCCTTTGGAGCAACCAAAACAATGTTTTGGAGCAGAAAAAGTGTTTTTTGGAGCAGCCAAGAAGTGTTTCGGAGTAGCAAAAGTGGCTTTTGGAGCAGATATTCTTAGAAAACAAAACAATTTGTTTTAAGTGCTGTACAAACGAAGGACACTTTGTCTTATGTTGTGTTCTGATGTGACGTGTTGTGACGGAACTCGCTGCTTGTGTTTTTACTGCTGAGACATCCCACAAGTGTGCTGTCCTGTAGGCGTTGCCAAGCAATTCCGAAAAACCGCTTGTCACCGTTTGACTGGTTCCTGACGTGCCAAATTTTCGTCAAAAGTAAGCAAACGTAAAACAATGGATTGCAAGCATCCCAGCGGGGGCCTCTGTCGTGCAATCATGTTCGCATGCACGTGAGGGTAACTTCGTCAGGCTAGCAGTTACGCAGGCTTTGTCGCGCGAGTGGAGAAAACGGCTGTTCGATCAAAACCATTCCACTCCAGTACATCGCCAACTGATTCCCAAAATTGTGTGGAAAATGTAACTGTTGAGCATATGACAAAGAGCAGTCCAGCGGCGCGTGTTTGCCAGGCCGACAAACAAAGTACAAGCATACATGTGAGGGCAACTTCGGCAGACTTGGAGATGCACGTGCTTCGTCACGCGAGCAGAGACGGCTGTTCGATCAAAACCGAAACCATGTCACTACGCTCCATCGCCAATTGGTTCCCAAAACTGTAGGCACAATGGAACTGCCCAGCATAAGACAAAAAACAGTCCAGCAGCGCGTGGATCTCGGTACAGGCTGTGCCGCCTGGAAGTGAGCCTAGGGGCGAGGGTGTGTGGCCCACTCTGATGTGCATACGCCCCTCGCTTGGCGCTTCCCAAGCTTCGGCATTGCGCTCCTTGGTGTGCTAAAAGATATAACCACTATCGTTGCTCGCTCGACGTGTGCGGCGCGAGTAAGCTCGCCGCTAGTAGTAGCTTGCGTGCGCTGGTTGAGCGTCGAGCGAGCAACAATAAGAACCTGAGCGCATCGATGAAAGAGATCGTGAGCCAGGGTCAAAAAGTTCTGGAGCACTTTGCGCAATGACTGAACTCGAGACAAACAAGCGTGCCGTGTGGGTTCAGCGTGCAGACATTGCCTTCTTTGCTTTAGCTCACTTCTCTTCACCAACGTTCTTTTGCGGCAGATTCTTCCCATTTTGGGGTCTCTCTCGAAAGAAAGCCCACCGAGAAAAACCTAGGTAATCAATACTTTGACACAGCAGTTTTTGAGTTAAAGAGGGATTTTTGTAGTGGCGTATGGTTTAAACAAGAGCAGGAATGTCGATGAACTTGCGGCAGTCCTTATGTTTCAGCTTAGACAGCGGCATATCTGCAGCGACGGGGGGACGGCAACAACCGACGTCGCGCGACCACGGTGATTGGCAGGCAGGGACCATCTTGGGACACAGTGCGAACAACAGACGTGGACGAAGAGGAAACACACGGGACCAATTAGTTTTCCCACAGCCGTTGCTTTCAGGAACGAGTGCTTCATCTCACAGACTAACTTCCGCCGCGCAAAAACGTGGTTTCATTTCACAGCATGACGACATGGCTGGCCTGACATGCTAGCGCCGTGACGACATGGCTAGCTTGACATGCTAGCGCCAGAGCATACACACACGCTTGGGTCTATCGTTGAATTTTTTTTTTCTTTAAAGACGCGAGACGACGAGAGCGCGAAACGAGAGACGGGGGAAAAACCCTGCAAGACCGGATGGACGATTGATGCAAGGTACTTTGTGTCGGGCAGCCGCTTGCTCCACCTAGCTCACGCATGATCAATTAAGGTACTCAGTTTAGTTTCGATTTTGAAAGGCGACCGAATATAGTCTTTTGGGGCAGGCTTAGCACAGATTACCCATATTTTGGCAAAATGTAGCAGGATTAGCCCTTTGGCGCAGTTGGCGCAGCAATCCCATCACTGCAGTGTTGCCTGAGTGCCCTCCAACTTCTCCAAACAGTTGACACGTTTATGAATATCTATGAAACTAAATACATACCACGTCCCTTTACTACACCAATATAAAAACGTGCGCTATCAAAACAGAGAACCATATGCGTAATGCTCTTCGTACTCTGCATATCGGAATTTCGATCGTGCACTCTTTCGCAATCCGGATGCAAGCTTTTCTGAGGTAGAGCTCCGCCTGCCAGCCTTCGGGCCCTAGTCCATTGTACGGTGAGACGGAGTATATACTCCGCGTCACTAGTTGCGTGCAGTGCAGGCGAAGGCAACGCCAGGTGAAGAGAGAAAGGGTGAGCACTAGGAAGGTGGGATGGGAGAGGAGGACAATAGAGGGTGAGGGGGGATAGAGAGAGCACTAGAAACGTTAGAGAGGAGAGGTTTCTGTCCTCCTCCCCAGTCTTCCTAGTGCTAGCCCTTTCTCCCCTCACCTGGCGTTGCCTTCGCCTGTACTGCACACAACTAGTGACACGGAGTTTAGTGGCTCTCATTGTGGAAGTGTCACCTAGGGACAAATTATCCTTAGGCTGACTACCAATGCTGCCTCCTAGAGACGGTTTGTCCCTAGAAAGCAACATTAAAAGTGAATTAGACGGATTGTTTGGAGGACCCAACGACTGGCCATGGATTCGGAGAAGGTTGCCGGGTGTGTTTACTTTTTCATAAACTACCGTGGACCCACCAAAAAGATGGACGACTGGAAATATTGTTTAATACCTAAAACACAGAGGTTGTATTATTTCTAAACACTTGAAATGCCGCGTAAAAGCTGCTATGTCTGCTTTAAAAGAAAAAAAAAAAGCACTTATCAAAATTAAAAAAAAAAAAAAAAAATTATTATTTAGTTTTAAACTTTTTTTTACTCTTACATGATCATCAATTAAGATAAGATAGTGCTCTCTTAGATTTTCAGAATAGAATAGGTAGCATGCAACTGTACTTGGGTGTTTTGTTCAGTAATATGTTACGTTGGAATAATCATGTGGACTACATTAGTGCAAAAGTTTAAAAAAAGTTATTGTTTCTAAGAAGACGTCTACAGCGTGCTAATAGTGACATGCGTTTAACTGCTTACATATGTTATATGTGTCCAGTGTTAGGTTTCTGAAAAGTTTCTCAAATGAAAGATTAGAAAATTTGGCCCTTCGATTTATCTTTTCTAAATACAAGCGCACAGAATCTGTTTCTGCGATGAGGTGTGAGGCAGAGCTGGACTCGCCAACAACGAAGACCAATAACCTGATTCAAAGAAATGTTGTCTATTACCAACAGTTTGACAAAGAACAGCAATCATGCTTGTGCCCTTCAACTTCACATTCCCAGAGGACATGCAACGTTAGGGCAATTGCCGCCTTATTGTTACAAAAATGATTCAATAATTCCTTTAAACACTCTTTTTTTTTTTTGTAGAACAATAGTCGTATGGAACGCTCTGCCTAATAAAGTCGTCGGATGCACCAATAAGAAGTCATTTGAGTCAAGACTATGTGATTTTTTGCCACCTTAATATTTGCATGCTTGTAGAATATGTTACATCTTATAAAAGCTTGGTCTGCTGGACAAGTCGGTAGTGGACATTCATATTAAAAATAGCGCAAAAGAGACGGGACAAAAAGACGCATAAAATCCTCTGCATAAAATGCGCCATGCATGCGCATTTTATGCAGAGAGACTACCCTGCTGTAAAAGTCTGAGGACTCGTATGAGTGTGTGAATGTGGTATTGTTTTTGTTTTGTTCAATTAATTTTTACCTCTCCTGCATCAACCAGAATGT